TCAATATATCCCAATGGGGCTGGGCCTGAATGTGCTTTTGGGCTTCTTGGTGGCATCTGGAGGGGTTTGGTGGCATCTAAGGGGGGTTTGGCCTCAATATATCCCAATGGGGCTGGGCCTGAAGGTGTGTTTGGGCTTCTTGGTGGCATCTGGAGGGCTTCCCCCCCATGTCCTCTCGGTTCCTCCCCCCAGCCCCGTCCTCAGGCCGGTTCGTGGCAGAAGCTGGAGTTGTCCCACGAGTACAAGAACCACAACCAGCTGCGGGAGTATCAGCTGGAAGGGGTCAACTGGCTCCTCTTCAACTGGTACAACCGGTGAGCGGTGGGACGGAGCTGCTTGGAGAAGACCTCTCGGGTGGCCGAGTCAAGGCGGGGGTGGGGGCCTCCAACCTCGTGTCTTCTGCTCCTCGCAAGGCAAAACTGCATCTTGGCCGACGAGATGGGCTTGGGGAAGACCATCCAGTCCATCGCCTTCCTTCAAGAGGTCTACAAAGGGGGCATCCATGGTCCCTTCTTGGTCATCGCCCCCTTGTCCACCATCACCAACTGGGAGAGGGAGTTCAACACGTGGACGGAGATGAACACCATCGTCTACCACGGCAGCTTGGCCTCCAGGCAGATGATCCAGCAGTACGAGATGTACTGCAAGGACCCCAGGGTGAGCGGTGGCTTGGGCAGCTGCTCCCGTGGCTCCTCCATGGGACAAGGGGGAGCTCCAGAGCTTCGGCCCCTCTCGGCGGCGGCCAGGTTTGGGGGGGGTGTCCCAGAGCTTCATCCCGACCTTGGGTCCACCTCCGGAACGCCGTCCCACCTCCTTATCTTCACCCCAAACTTCCATCCCACGTCCATATCTTCACCCCAGAACTCCATCCCACTTCCATATCTTCATCCCAACCTTGGTCCCACCTCTGAAACTCCATCCCACCTCCATATCTTCACCCCAGAACTCCATACAACCTCCATATCTTCATCCCAACTTTGGTCCCACCTCTGAAACTCCATCCCACCTCCATATCTTCACCCCAGAACTCCATACAACCTCCATATCTTCATCCCAACTTTGGTCCCACCTCTGAAACTCCATCCCACCTCCTTATGTTCACCCCAAATCTCCATCCCACCTCCATATCTTCACCCCAGAACTCCATACAACCTCCATATCTTCATCCCAACTTTGGTCCCACCTCTGAAACTCCATCCCACCTCCTTATGTTCACCCCAAATCTCCATCCCACCTCCATATCTTCACCCCGGAACTCCATACAACCTCCATATCCTCATCCCAACCTTGGTCCCACCTCCGAAACTCCATCCCACTTCCATATCTTCACCCCAAACCTCCACCCCACCATCAAACCTCCACCCCAAGGTCCATCCCACCTCCAAAACTCCATCCCATCTCCATATCTTCCCCCCAAACCTCCACCCCACCATCAAACCTCCACCCCAAGCTCCATCCCACCTCCGAAACTCCATCCCACCTCCATATCTCCCCCCCAAACCTCCATCCCACCACCCCTCCTTGACGCAGGGCCTTCCCCCCACCCCATAGGGCCGCCTCATCCCCGGTGCCTACAAGTTTGATGCCCTCATCACCACCTTTGAGATGATCCTGTCCGACTGCCCCGAGCTGCGGGAGATCGAGTGGCGCTGCGTCATCATCGACGAGGCCCATCGCCTCAAGAACCGCAACTGCAAGCTCCTCGACAGCCTCAAGCACATGGACCTGGTGAGGG